GTTTCAGTATCGTTATCGACTTGGAATGTTCACACAATTGGTATAGGAGCCAAAAGCCAATCAACAAGATACAACTTTCTTAGTTTCCAGAGCCTTAATTTCGTCGAAGCATTTCGAAATGTCGAAGTATTAGGGTGAATTTTACTTGGCCCGTAAAAAAAGGTTGTATAAGTGACTAACAGTCTAAAAAAACCCAAAACAAAACATTGGATTTAGAGTGATTTGACTTGGCCCGTAAAATAAAGTTGTATAATCAGTGACTAACAGTCCAAGTAAAACAAAAGAAAACAATGGATTTAGAATGAATTTTGCTTGCCCCGTGAAATCTATCTTTGACAACTATATTACTTATTGTAATAACAAATCACGCCGTAATAGACTGACCACAGTATATCCGTGAAACTTTAGTAATACTAAATAGCACAATTTCATGCAAATTCCATTGTTTTCTATTGTTTAACTAGCACTATTTTGTACTATTTAGTAATTAGTGTTTCACGGATTTACTGTGGTCACTTTAGTTCAGGTCTTTATCTTAGTGTTCAGCGTTTCAGAATCAGTCTCTATCGGTTTTTTTCATGACTCTTTTTTATTCTTATTCACAACCTTTGGAACGCTATACCAGACAATATTAAAGCTCATAAAATATTTGAAATATAATGAGCGCGCTGATTGGCCCTACCATGTTTAGGACAGATACATGTTCGCGCAAATCGTTCAAACTTATTTTATAAAAGCAATATAAAATGGCTGCTTATGTCTCTGTATTGTGATATAAACAACTATGGGAGGTGTAAGGGCACTGGAAATGCAAGAGACAACCCTGGGCTACGCTAGAAAAACTCCGATTTTAACCAAGCTAGAATTTTTGTCATTAACTTTTGTGTGTGTGTAGTAAGTCTTCGAAAAATCATGTCCAATTTAAGTCTGTAGCGGGAGTTATAGCCGTTTCAAGCGAGGGAGCACATTAAAATTTTGTTTGTGTAAGGAAAGGTATTGTTCTTGGTTGATCTATCTAGCGCACGCAATACATCATGTGACAGGCGTTCCTCGTAGTGTTTTGGTTTCGGCCGATCCGAATGGCCTACGATCGTGTAAGGAAGGTAATGCTGAGTGGAATAGCAAGTTATTCGTCGGTTTTCGGAGTAAATTCGCTAGCCCGACTAAAGCAAAGAACGCCTGCCATAAAGTGTAGCGCAAACATCGTTCCCAGGGCCGCCATTTTGTTTTGGAGTCGGGCCGAAAGGACCCTGGGAACGATGTTGAAACAAGCACTACAAGGAACGACTGTCATATCTTAGATTACCTGCGATAAAATCCAACACAAACAAAATTTTTAACGTGCACCGGCTTGTTTCAATACAAGTACCAGCGCACTCTGAGCCGAGGGTCGAGCCACCTTAAGAAACGTAAAACCGCCTAAGCATAGCTAAATGCGGGTCAAGATTTWTGCATGTAATTTATGTTATTCAAAAATTGTAATAAAATGTATGTATAATAAATGTATGTAAACCACGATCGCATGTTTAAAACTGTAATATAAACACGTTGGGTGCTGTAGAGCAAAGAGTAGAGCAACGAACTTTTTAAATTTATTCTGAGTAAAATCAATGTTCCGTTTCTATTCAAAGATGGCCTTTCTTCTTTCAAAAATATAATAAGCTCATGGTGATTTTTTTTTTTTTTTTTTGTTCATCAGAGAATTAAAACCAACCCTGAACAGAACGTCCAATCAGACTCAGTGAAAGCAAAACGTTTTGTTTGAATATGTACGTATATTTACTTTGTCACACAGTAATTCACGCTTGAAAAATGATGACAGGATGTCATCGAAACGTCAAGCAATTCTTGCGTTTATTTTCTTATTCAAATTCTTTCCCCAGACTGACTCATTCATTATTTGATTAATCCCAAATGTCATCATAAATCAGTATGTCTATAATTGTACAACTCGTGAATAAAAATCGTTCGTGGCACTTTACGTGGAGTAATCTCTGCATATTTGCTATACGGGTATGTGCCGCCTATGGTTTTCGGCTTTTGGGTCTGGGGTAGGGTATCATTTTTTGAAATTTATAGTCTGGGATAGAGTTAACGATTTGGTCGTTTTTTGTTTTGTTTTGTTTTGTTTTGTTTTTTTTGTTTTTTTGTTTTTTAATCGTCTGGCGAATAGGCTACGCTTTTTGCCGGCTAATTGGATCCTTTCGATTTTGACCCGTGTTATTCGCTAATTTGATCCATTCGATTTTGACCCGTGTTATTCACTAATGGGATCCATTCGATTTTGACCCGTATTATTCGCTAATGGGATCCATTCGAATTTGGCCCGTGTTATTCGCCAATTGTTATTCGCTATACTCAACCAYTAGACCTTTTTGCTTTATCGGTATTTTCGAAATCCGTGCACCATTTCGAAATCTGTTCGGCACTGCCGACCATCAATATTGTGAAGAACAAAATATGCTCTATGCCTATGCCTTGACTCTGAGGTCTTGCCGTGTACGAGCAGAAGAAATATTGGACTTCAGTTTATTATCCACGATGCTTCTTGTTTGTGGAGATGTTGGAGAGGAGCTAGACGTTTTAGAAAGACTATTTCCAGATTTCAGAGGGCACAGGCGAAGAGGAAATGACGTATGGTCCGAGCTACTCAATATACCACCTTTATTTTGGCATCTGACTGGTGAGACGCCAGAGACGTTTGAAGGACTATATCAGACATCATATCCTTGGATTATCCAACCAAGCGGACCCCAGGTTGCAGCATGTAGGTCTACCAAGGCGTATTCGACCAACCTTGCTTAATCCAAGAAATCGTCTTTTGGCTGCATTAATACGTGGTTTAGACAGTATTGTAGAGAAGAGCTGGTTTGTGCATTTTTTCAGATAAGCGTAGCAACAGTTAGTGACGAAGTTCATCACATCATTCCCATAGTATGGTACATCTTAAGAGATCAAATTCGATGGCCAAATGCTGCCGAGTGGGCAACATTTAGGAATAGCTGGGATACTTTTCCTAGAGTGATTTTCATATGATCGTGAAAGAATAGGCAAACTAATAGTTAGTAGTAGACTCTAAACCAATGATTTTCTTTTGTTCTTTATCAACTATTACAAACTAAATGGTCTATTTTCTTTCACGGTCATGTGAAAATCATTCTAATGCAGTGGGTGCTATAGACTGTACCATACATCGAATATGGAGACCATCTGTGAGGCAAGCGACCTATTATCGTGGCGATAAGAAAACACATTTCTTGGCTACCATCGTCATCGTTAACACAGACGGGCTTCCTGTTTACGTAAGGGCAGGGCACRTATTATCAATGCGTAACGGACGTACATGAAAAATGAACAAAAGTCTACAAGGTCTACAAACCTCGCCTAAAATATCMTTTTTCAATAGTGCATATTTAACGACATATACGCTAGATGCCCGCGCAATTTCTTCGCATCGATTTTCGATTAGTTTTGTGTGCGTACACTGTACGCTAATGACGTCATTCCATGCACTTGTCCCTCATTTTTACCGAAGTATATCTTTTTTGTAATTGAGGGAATAAAGATTATTCGTAGAAACCGTCCATTATAAAGCTTTCTTTCGTCCAAACACCGTACAAGTGCTCGTTCACCAGGGTTTACGCATATCAATTATATCTTAAACAAAGAAAACCACATTCCACGGGCAAATAATTATCACCCTTTGTTCTAGGGTGCACGGATTTTGAAAATACCGATAAAGCAAAAAGGTCTATTCCATTTTGACCCCTGTTATTCGCTATAGAGCGTTTTCACGTGACGTCACAGCGGCCATTATGGGGTACCAAAACAATACATTTTCTATTCTCCGGGAATTGAACTCTATTTTTATGCAAATACTGTGCAGAAAGTTTCTATTGTTTATGGCTGCCTTCTCACGTGAGTGTGAACGCTCTATACTCAACCATTCGATTTTGACCCGTGTTATTCGCTATTGTTGTTGTCGTTTTCAGAAGGGCTATTCCTGTGCAATGAATACAAGGCCCAAAGCCACCAGCGCATCGTAAAAGAGCATAACGCTATAAAGGCCGTTTAGAATGATGGATGGAACTACGAAACAGAAACAGCTCTGCATGCACTTGGAGTCCAGCACGCACAAAAATTCATGGTCTAATCAATTATATTTTTTCTTTTTGCCAGAATTTCAAAATTTGATTGGTTTGAATTGTCACAGTAAAAACACAAGTTCTGAGCTCGAAAAGGCAATCACAGTGTTAATTATCTGAGCGATGATGGTATATATTTATTGATACCATAGTTAAACCGCTTATGAATGCGGGAGCATGAACTTGCGTATATTAAGTTCTGGGAAATGACGGTTGAGATCACATGTGATATTGATTTCGTGACACACATGGGGATTTTGGTTTCGGATTCAAAAAATTACGTATGATCAGATTTCCCGAAGAAAAAAGATATCTGTATCCCATCATATGAACCATAATTGATTTTATTTAGTCACCCTGGTTAATATTTTTCATTCCTTATTCCGGTATTTCTGATAATTCTCATATCCATTGCCCGTGCCTCCCCTCCCTGCAAAATATTAGTCCCTTGATTTGACCACAACAGCGAGTTTCCGCTGACTACACAAACTTCCTGCTTGCAGGCCTGGAATTTATTTTAGCAGCCATTTTGTCTGCACAAGAAAGAATTTCCTYGTATAAATGGCTTTCAAAATACCCAAAAATATGTGCAAAACCTTTCAAATTGATAGGACGTGGTAATATTATATGTTTGGAAGGTAATCGTGATGCCAGAGGAAGCGTGTCACATGGAACTTGAATGATGTGTGGAATTAATTTACTTTAGTTTTAATATTTGACTGATTACATCTCATGACTGTCATCGGATACACATGGAACCAAAGCAGGAAGAAGCGTCAAATTTCATATTCTGTATATATTGCTATAGTTGATCCTAAAGGCAGCCGAGTGTAGTCTCGTGATTCAAACAAGTCGTCTTGCTTGACTTGGTTTCATTATTCTTTACGTAGACTTCGAGTTTTCTAGATCTAGACTAAGCTTATTTATCATGAATTACTTGCCCAAGCGTTTACTGTTTAGCCAGAACTCAAGACAACACATCAGCAGGCTTAAACATGGATCTGCTCTATTCTGATTACTGCTTTCGTCGGTATTTTAATCTTATCCACAAGAAAAGAGCGTTTAAGTTTTTAGATATGCAGGGTCCCRTGCAAGATAAAGCAGAGAAGTTGTTCCAAGTGCTCGATTCTCTCAAGGCCAACTCCAACGAGGTCCAAATAAGTTGTTGTATAACCGAGCTAGCGCACACTTTGGGTGACGTTTCTACAGAAGAAATACATCGGTTGCAAGATGAAGATTCCTATCTAATTGTACAAGAAGTAATGGAGAATCACTTCACGAATCGTGATATACAATACTATGGGATCTTTGCTTTGTACCGATTGATGGAAGAGAGTGTAAAAATAAGAAAGGAATTCATCCGCTCAAAGATTCATGACTTTGTGATGAAAATAATGAAAAATTACAAAAGTGAAGCAGTAATCCAGCAGATTGGTTGCAGAATTCTTAATATTTTGGTGGAAGAAGATGCAAGTGTAAGGAAGGGCGTAGAGAGCACTATTCAAGTCATAATGCAGGCAATGAACAACTTTGTACAAGACGAGGAGCTGCAGTTGGCTGCAATACAAGCCCTGACAAAATTAATGCAGTATCATGTTGTAACCAACAGTTCCAACAGTTGTCTAGAAAGTTTTGTGGAGCAGAAGTTTCATTTATTGGTGCTAGATATCCTTGAGGAGCACATAGCGTCAGGTATTGCRTCCTCTTACTGTAGCTACGTAAATGATTCAAGTATATTGTTTATTCGGTGTTATAAGGCTGCTGTCAAGCAGTGCATTAACACTTAAACATGGTATTTGGTTGAATAARCATTTTTTTATGCAGTGTTATAAGGCTCAGTAATTCAGATGAAGAATCTAGATAATCTGCCATCAGCCTGTGCGTCAACACTTATTCATAGTTGGATAACTTAAATGATGAGCAAATTACAGTGTACCTTTATACATAAGATATACTCAAATCCCAAGAGTTTGACCACTTGTATTGCATAGTCTGTGTTAATTTCAATAGACATGATGATGTCATCATTTATGCCATTACGCTATTGACAAGGTTCATTTCTTCCAGCGATATTAAATGTAGTAGTGTTYTGTTAATTCACAACAAATTTACAAGTTTTATATCCAAAGTTATTGGAAAATAAATGGATCTACCTTGTAAAGTAAAAGTGCTAACACATAGTCTGATTACATATGCACTAATTGCCCTATTTCACTATGACGTCACTGCTTGTTTATGTGGGGGATAGAATCGCCAAATCCAATAGAAAATTCAACAAAATTTGCTCCTAGCAAAACAGTTTAATCTAAAATGGCCTGGTTTTCAGATATAATATGTGTTAATATGTACTAAAAAATACTCTGAGAGTTTGCTGGATATTCTACTTCCCTTCGTGGATTGATATGGGTTTTAGAACAATTTTCAGTGAATTTGCGTTGATTTGACCCCCTTCGACGACCATGATCCCTTGTGTTTAAACAATAGATTGTTTTGATGTAACGTCATAGTGAAATAGGGCAATTACATGAGAGAAAGAAACACATCAATTTTTACTGCATGGCGTTACATTACTCAAATACCACACTACGAGTCCTTAGGTTTAGTCTTTCAATCAAAAGATTGCAAGTTTATTTCTGTAAAATGCATAAATTATTTTCTTTGAGCCTTTAACAAGGAATGTTTTGTTATACTGAGGCAAAAGAAAAAAATACTTTGTCTTCTTCGACAGGTATCTTAGATCAACGTCATAATGTTGCGGTAACATGGGGGTAATACCAATATATTTAAAAATGTTCATCGATGCATGGATAAAAACTAYATGGATATAACAATCTCTTTGGTAGAAAAATTAATGATAAATACCTTTCAATAATGCTTTCTAAGGTATTTAATATATTAATGATATATTCTTTACATTTCAGGTGAAGTTGTGGAGGAAATTTTCCAGCTATTCACTGTTCTAGGCACATTGTCATGCATTTGTGAACAATTGTTAAAGTGTGAAATTGCTTCCGTGGTACTGAACGGAATGGAATATCACATTAATGCAAATGGCGTGCAGTGTGCGGGACTAGAGTTGTTAAAATCATTAGCAGGCAACACTGAATATTTTCAAGACATTTTGGTACAGAAAAACATTAGTAACATACTCTTGAAGATCATGCAACTCGAAAATCACATGAAAAGTAATGTTGTACAGAAGAATGGTTTGAAAGTTTTTACCTTAATATGCAAGAAGTTACTCCAGCTCTCAGAAAACAGTAAGTATCAATAGTATTATTTATTATATAATTACCAATGAAATATCTATTTTTCTCTATTTCAAAAAATTGATATCTTCACATGTGAAAATAACATGTTATTTTCACGTGTGAAAATAACACCATTGCGATGGCTATTCCAAAATACACGGAAAGAATTGCCTGAAAAAACCAAAACATACTTCATTGATAATTATATAATAAACAGAATATTACATGGCCAATGAAATATCTATTTTTCTCTATTTCGAAAAATTGATATCTTCACACGTGAAAATAACATGTTATTTTCACACGTGAAAATAACACCATTGCGATGGATATTCCAAAATACACGGAAAGAATTGCCTGAAAAAACCAAAACATACTTCATTGATAATTATATAATAAACAGAATATTACATGGCCACTTGGAGATAGGAATTTTATCTTCTCGTGTTGAAAATCTCTCACTCATTCGCTAGGCTCACTCATGAGAGATCTTTTCAACACTTGAAGATAAAATTCGTATCTCCGCGTGCCCATGTAATATCCTCTATTTATTCTCCTTTCCAAAGCTAAAATAAATAACAGATTATATGGTGTAGTTGCAGTAAATCAATCRATCATCAATTTATCCATCCATCCATCAATCAATCAATCAGTCAATCAATTTTGTTTAACAGAGGACTACACTGTACAGTACATGTAATTCAACTGATAAACTCGTGGTTCTCTTTTAAYGTCTCTAGTTGATTAGGGATGGGATGGCCATTAACGTGGGCATCCCAGCCATCCCATCTATCCATTTGCAGATATAATTCACAAAGGTAGCACCTTCTCCTCAGTTATTTTAAGACCCTAAGTGTTGGTCCGGCTGCATGGCTTGAACCACGACCTTCAGCACAATGGAYTGACACTCTAACCAACTGACCTAGTTCGGTGGCAGGTGACTCAAATCAAGTTTTTCTGAGTTTGAAAACCAGAATATACAGTTGGCTGTTAATTCATAAAACAGCCTCCGCGTAGTCCAAGCAACCTTGTAACAGCTATTCCTTTGCTATTTCTTTAGAAAGAGAAGTCACCCACTCCTGGCTACAACATCTTTTAGTCACCATGGCAACTCATTGTGATGATACAGATACCTTAATTATTGCATGCAAGGCTATTTCTAARCTTGGAGAACATCATCCAACTATGTTAATGTTAGTGGACGATGATCATGGTGGCGTTCCTTTACACAATGCTATAATGGCTGCTCTTGCTCTATATATAGACAATGCTGAGATATGTCAGGTTACCTGCAAGGCTATATTGTGTATTGCAGAAAATTCCATTGCCRTCCAACAGGTAATGATTGTTTCATCTTTGAAAAAATTGATTCATAGGCAATGAAGTCTGGAGTATATTTCATTTGATATACAAAAAAATGGCAGGCTTAAGTCACAAAGCAATTATTTCAATTTGTAAATCAAAATGCTGTATTTTTTGTTTTAGAATATTTTGATGGAAATTTTGCTTGTTCACAATTCAGGATTTTTTTTWAAAAAATTAAGAGCATTCTTTGTACCTAAAATATGTCACAACTTAGATGTTCTATTAATCATTTCGGAAGGGAAGCAAGAGTGGCCTTGTGGGGCGAGTGCTCATCTCTTACCAATATGACCTGGGTTTGATCCCCACTGGGTTTGGTGTGGTATGTGAGTAGATATCAAGGGTTTTTCTCAAGATTCTCCAGTGTTCCTTCGTAAAAATCAACTAATACAAATATTTTCAGTGGGATTTCAGTTGATGAAGGGCCAATTATTTTTTTTCTGTGGAAAGCCACTGTAAATCCATTTATTTATTTWTAATTATTATGATTTGAATTTTTTTTCAAACAGTCCTTGTTTGACAAAGGGGTCTATATGTACATAATACAAGCAATGCAACAACACCCTGTTGCCGGTGTTCAACAGTATGGTTGCCGGTCTTTAAGAATGTTATGTATGTCCGAAGTGAAGAATATGGAAACCATTATGGAGTGTGGTGCATGGGATGTTATAACTAAATGTCTTGCTAAGTAAGTAAAACTGACAAAGCTATTTCAATAAATGAATTTTTGTGCTTTTATGTTTTCTGACTAAAACATGAAAAATCACATTTCATCACAACACAATCACAACTCAAAGTTCATGCTTCATATTCCAATCAAAAAGGAAACTACATTGTTCGGCTGGGAATGTATTACAATTTACTGTGTGCTACTCGGTCTCAGATTTCATCATCTTTTTCTTTCAGCTTTAAAGAAAATGCTGGTGTACAGCAAGAGGCGATAGCAATTATGGCTTTATTGCTGACAGACATCGAGTTCTTACGTGTCCAGTGTGTAGTAGAACGCTTGTATTTATCGGTACTAGAGGCCATGAGGAAATTTGCTGACAACCCAGAAATAATAGAGATTTCATTGGAAGCCATTGGTAAGTCCTTTTTCTAGTTCCCATCCTTTTTGGGATGAATCGTGAAAGTGCATTTTTTAATCTTATGTTGTGTAACAATTCTTGACCTAAAGTAATAAAACTTAACCAAGTGAGGTATAGGAATAGTGCACTAATCTTATTTCTCACTTCTTGGGTCTCAGGTTTGATTTCTGATTTCCTGAGCATTACGATCGATATGTCAGTTAGATCAGCCCAGAGGTTGTTTTAGGGTTTTATCTGTGATTTTGCCATACCCTGACCTAGATCAGCCCAGAAGTTGTTTTAGGGTTTTATCCGTGATTTGGCCATGCCCTGACCTAGATCAGCCCAGAAGTTGTTTTAGGGTTTTATCTGTGAGTTGGCCATGCCCTGACCTAGATCAGCCCAGAGGTTGTTTCAGGGTTCGATCTGTGAGTTAACCATGCCCTGACTTTGATCAGCCCTGAGGTTGTCCTTTCAGGGTTTTATACAATACAAAAGATTTGCTTTTAATTGAAATCTAAACTTCAATGCCAACAGGTGTTTTTACAGCTTGTGAGGACCTTGCTGACTTCATGGTTGAGGCTGGGGTTGTGCGGACATTCTTGAATGCAATGGACACTCATTCACATGTTATAACGATTCAACAGAAAGGATGCATTCTAATCCAAGTGTTATCAGGGTAAAAATGATACAATACTATTGTTTTATAAGGCATACCGAGATTGAGCAAAAACCTGGGTCGAGTTGGCATTGCAGTGCATTGTGGGACTGATTTATTTTCAAAATGGCGTCAGTTTTGTCCCCTAACGATCCCACAATGCACTGCTAGTTTTTATGGATAGTGGAGCATGGAGGGCAGTCTTTGCACTTTAAAAAACTACTATTAAGATTGATCAGAACAGACCTGAGTTTAAAATAACTGAGCAATTTCATACTGATTTCAGTTTTTTTTTTGTAGTTATATCAAAGGAGAGGAATGTGTTGCTTCAGTGTCGTCGATCATCAAAGCAATGCAACGTTTCGCCGACGACGAGTGCGTCCAAAAAGAATCTTGCGTGGCTCTCAGACTCATCGCGCAAGTCGACGCCAGCAACAGTGTAACCCTCGTGAACCAGTGCGTCCATGAGAGGCTTTTTGCTATTCTCGATCAATTCAGTGATGACAGGAAGGTGATTGAACTCGCGAGTGACGTCCTTTGGTTACTGGGATGTCAGCGTAATTATAGTTCACTAATGTTGCTGTCAGCCTGCGCGGGTGGGCTGATCAAAGGCGCTCACTGTTTGCTCCAAGTAGGAGCCGATGTCAATGCTGGTGAAGGCACAAACACTCCGCTTTGCGCGGCGTGTAAAAATAACAAAGAAGAAATGGTCCGCTACCTGTTGACTCAAGGAATAAGTGACGTCCACACAGCACTTAACCTCTGCTTAGAGATGGAGCACCACAACATTATTGGTATTTTGCTGCAGAAAATAGGGCACGATAGAGAAGCAGGGGTGATATCCTGGAATGGCTTGAACCTTGGTAGCTTGTATCCTGATTGGCTGTTACCTGCTCTTTCGGGTAGCGCCTTCGGGTTGGCCGTCGAGACGCAGCGATGGTGCAACTACCTACGAAGTGCGGAGAATGCGTTTATTCAGCGCTTCAAGGTCTTGGAAAAGTTGCTGGATGTAGCGGTCATTAATAATATTTTGGATCGCAATTATATCATAAGTACTGTCGTCGCTCATGCGTCAGATGACAGCGACGACGACGAAGAACAAACGTTCTGGTCGAGCAGTGATGAGGGTCCTTCCGAGTCGAAAATCCTTACCGAGGAAGCCCCTTTGCGAGTTCGTAGTGTTTCCGGTGCTTCACTCCCGTACAGCTCCTACGACCCACGCGTTGTGGTGGCTTTGAATGTGGGTGATCCTATCCTACTTCCTCGTAGAAGAACATTTCGATCCATTGAAACAAAGATTAGCAGGAAAAACAGCCCTCCCTCGCGGCAAAGTCCCGAGTTTTCGATGATTTCTCAAGGTAGAAGATCTAAAAGCATGTCAAACATGAACTCTGTTTTGAAAACAGCGAGTAAACCTGCGTGTGTCGATGAAGACTTGTCAAGATTAAGGCCAGGATCGCTTAGGAGAACGGTCTCGGATGTTGACAAGAATGACTTGGTCACGACGACCCCATCCTTCGAACTACCAGGCATTGCATTCATGTATGATGGCACGCCAAGGCGACGGAGTGGGACCAAGAGTACAGACTCTAGCGCGTACGATGAGCAAGAAGAAAACGCACATCGAGAGAGGAAGACCTCTTCTAGAATGCAGAACCGCAGAGGTACCGTATATACTGACTTCCCAAGCGTAAATGGTGCGTCAGTTCGTGTCATTGATGTCTCTGGCAACAGAATAAGAGACTTGAGTCGCTTGGAACAAGCTGGGGATTACTTCTTCATACGACTGGCAAAGGTCCAGAGGTTAGAACTAAGTAATAACGAGTTATCATCTCTTCCTAGTGCTTTATGCCAAGCCATGCCTCTGCTGGAGCAGATTAACTTGAGTCGCAACGAGTTTGAGGAGTTTCCGTTTTGTCTTCAGCTCTGCAAACGACTTAAAAGCCTCGATTTATCGCACAATAAGTTACAGTTAACCCCTCCCAGTTCGCCATGTAGTTCGGTCTTACTTGGATATTTATCAATAGCGAATAACTCGTTGAAAGAGTTTCCAGAGTGGCTTGCGGAGTCCTTTCCCGGAATCACCAAACTATCTTTATCTGGTAATGAAATTGAAAAGTTACCTTCAACAAGTCTGAAGATGCGTGGATTGAAGATATTAGATTTGTCTCGTAATAAGATCGATCAAATACCAGATTCTTTCCTGGTGGAGTGCAAGARCTTGGAGAATCTCAATGCTTCTTGGAACGAGCTCTCAACGCTTCCTGAAATCTCCACCAATTCTTGTACCAATCTGAGGACACTTCGACTTGCACACAATAACCTTGCTCAGAAGGAACCTTTCTTCATACCACGTTTTATTTTGATGCTTCCTAACTTAAAAGCGTTGGATTTATCACACAACAAGTTGACCCACCTTCCACCTCCAACCAAGTGGATGACCAAACAGCTCAAAGAACTTGTATTGGACCATAACAATATCAAAAGAATTCAACTCGATTCCGACGTCACTAACTGGAAGAACCTTGAGAGGTTGATTGTCAGTCATAACGCTCTCAGGAATATCCCGAAAGAGATTGGTCAGCTGGCGTCCCTGATGTCACTAGACCTGAGTCATAACCCAGGGATAAGCAGCCTACCAGACGAAATGGGTCGACTGTCCAATCTATGGGACCTGCAGCTGACGGGTGTCAAGCTCGACCTTGAAGAATCTTTGCTGGGCAATACCAAGAATATTATAGCGTTTCTACACTCCAAGCTGATGAATTCCGTTCCTTATTACCGCATGAAGCTTGTGACGGTTGGTCTTGCAGGACGTGGTAAGACAACTCTCCTCAACCAGCTTCTGAAGTCCAAGGCGCCTCCGTCACAGAATGAGTTAGTTATACGTGACTGGGTAGTGCGTGACACTAAGGCAACGTGTCGACACTGTCAACACAAATCTGTGATCTATACTATTAGCACGTGGGATTTTAAAGGCAAGGAAGAGCTCTACAATGTGTATCAGGGACTGATGTCGTCACGTACTCTCTACTTGGTTGTCTATGATGTAGTGAAAGGTGGCCAGGAGTTAGAAGAACTACGCCCTTGGCTCCAGAATATTCATGCTTGTGCGCCAGATGTACCAGTGATGTTGGTAGGGACTCACCTGGATAAAATACCCAAGGAGCGCTACGAACAGGTAAGTTACCGTACCGTACCGTGCCGTGCCGTGCCGTGCCGTATGTTTCTCTAATGTGGACTTTGTCAACTAAGAGCAGGGTGAACCATCGACGGATCACCCTGTTGAAATGAGTTTTGGACTGCGTCAGTCTCTTCGCTTAGTCCACTGACGTTCCAAGTAGCTCTCCAATCTTTAGCCACGGGTATCTGTAGTATTTCTTACTCAGCTTCACAAACAGAACCTTAGTGATACCAGTATTGTCAACAACATAATTTCCCCTAAAGAGGGTCAAAGGTTTGATCAAAACGTCGGGAAAAATGGTTTTTATATTATTTCTATCCAGAGAAACATTTTATTCAACTTTATCTATGACACCTGGATCCAAAAAAAAAGTATTTCCAGAAATAATATAGAGTACTTTTTTATTCATCAGGTTCTTGACCAGATGAAAGAGCGTGCTCGTTCGCTATTCATGAGCCCTGGTTTACCAGAGATCAAAGCTCACGTCGTCCTCAACTGCACACAAGAAACTCCAGGCATTCAAACCCTCAGGAATAAGATCGTTGAATTGGTTAACAAGTGTAAGTGCAAAGGACACTCGATACTTGGATCCTGTGTGCCACAGAAATTTGTTCGTCTTCAGAGATTAATCTTAAAGGAGGTGGAGGGATTGGGCAACAGAATTCCAGTGCTGAGATTGAACGACATCAAGAAGCTTTGGAAGATGGAGAGTGAGGAGGTTATCAACGAAGGAGAGCTGGGCCAGGCTGTGAAATTCCTGCACGAAGCTGGTAAGTCGTGGAATCATGTAAGGTTGTAAGRTGCTGTGTTTTGGACACTTCTAGATAAATTGAAAACGCAACTCTTTGTAAAAGAAATCCGCTTTGGGCTTTAGCTTCACCGTTTCCCCTCCCCCCATACATACACAAACGTAAACAAAAATACGAAGTAGTTACCCTTTCCACTCACCCACCATTGTGTCTGTAATCAACAAAGCAAAATACCCCTCCCATTAGACGCGGGCTTATATGCGATAATAGCTTACCATTTGTGATGGTATTTAACTGGTATCTTGGCGCGAACTCTAGTCCCAAATGTTGGTCTTCTGTTGTTTTCCTTTCTCGATGCTATAGAGGTGCTTCAAAGTTTGTTAAATAGTACTCCGTTCTTTTGTTTCCTTCACCAGGAATAATTGTACATTACGACGACCCTGTGGCTCATTTGAACGATTTATTCTTCGTGCAACCCGAGTGGCTGTGCCACGTGATTTCCAGTGTCGTCTTGGTGCGCAGTCCGAATGGCCAGAAAACTAATGGAATAATAAGAATAAATGAGCTAATCAATTGGATAAAGGATGAAAAATCCACCGTTAAACTGATTTTCGATATACTGCCACAGTTTTTAAGGTATGGAGATGGCAAAAGAGTTCTTTGTCTTGAACGTGATGTTTTGCTCATTTCAGACCACGTGTCATTCCCTTGAGTATCATTTCTTTGTTTAACGGTTGCGCATGAAGACACATGAATAAGAATACTACTGCAACCCTCAAAACAAACCCTCGAAGCACAGGAGAACACTAACAATAAGCTCTACTTACGTACGACACTGAGCCCGCTGGACTYGAACCCGGGTTGCATTGGTGAGAAGCGAGCGCTCTCACCTCTACGTCGCCCTTGCTTCTCAGCTAGCCTAATATATCCCAAGGGGAGGGGTGTGGTGATTGAAGGACCAAAGAAAAATACTATACTTAGAAACTAATCTCTCACATTTCTATTAATAGGCTTCTGGAACGCTTTGGAGTGTTACTCCCAATAAGCGACTCAGAATTCTTGATGCCATCCAGACTACAGCCCAAGCCTGCGTCAGTTGATCTACCAGACCTGACTCAAATAGACACGTATTACAGACGGCTCTACCAATTGGCGTTCGTACCGTTAGGCTTCTGGTCCAGGCTTATCACTAGACTGCTGCTGTTTTTTCCAGAGATAACACCAAAAGAGGGGAAAGCAGAGACAAGTTACGAGGTGAGACAAAATGAAACCTGAGGGGGTGGGGACAGAGACATGTCACGGGGAAATCGTCACGAGGCTAGGCAAAATGAAACCTGAGGGGGTGGGGACAAAGACATGTCACGGGGAAATCGTCACGAGGCTAGGCAAAATGAAACCTGAGGGGGTGGGGACAGAGACATGTCACGGGGAAATCGTCACGA